CAAATCCTCTGCTTGGCCTAGCCCAAGTCTTTATCCTTACTCCATTTTGCGTCTTGGTGAAAACAGAGCTCGTGACGGTTACATTCTGCACGCCTTCCTCGTTAGCGTAATCCCCAAGACTCCCAATGCTGCATCACATTTACCAGCAAACCCCATGTTCATGCCTTAAATAGTATTAACTCATCATATTTATGTCGATTGTTGTTAGATTTTAGTTACCTAATTCCATGTCCGGGTCCACAGTTCACACGTTCGATCCAAATATTCCTAGATCCTTGACTAAGAGCAATGCAGTCGTCACCGGTCGCAATGGTTCCACCAGTAATGGTGACTCCAGAAGAAGACTGGACATGAATGCCATCGGTGTTAGGACTTCCACTTGGAGCCCTAATCCATATGTTTTGAATACGAACATTAGAAGAGTGATGAACCGTCACGTGCATATTCTGACTATTAATCGACGTTAGACCGCTTAGTAGAACATTACTGCACCAGCTGAACGATATAGACTGCCAAAGAAACCATAGTTCTGATTATCTAGTGAAAGAACAAATCGAAATCATGTTTTGATGTGAACATACCCTTGCACCTTGAGGACAATGCCCACCTTTCTTTCTACAAGACCAGTAACCAGCTCCTCTAGCATCAATGGTTCCACCGGTCACCGAGATCCGGTTTACTTTAGCAAAGAGAATCCAATAACCGGAATTACCTATGCTCCAGTAATTCGCTGGAGCCACGAGTGTTCCATCGATTTTGAAAGTTATAATGTTCTTGCAAGGACCCCAAAAGACAAGGTTTCCAACCAAGTATGTTCCACGGGGAATGTAGACCATGGCTCGAGCTCGTGAGCCGCAGGCTAATGACCAAGCCGTCAAAAATGGCTTGGTCGCGTCTGTTCTCCCATCACCTCTAGCTCCGTATCTTTGTACGTTAAACGATGGCATTGCGTTTGATAAATTAATAAGAAAGAAAACAATGGAGAATAATGTGATGGCACAAAGAAAAGAGATGTTATTGGCCATCTTATAATTTTCTTTTCTAATTTTGATGGCTTCGTGTGATTATAATGTATGATTTAAGAACATATAATGAGAAAGGTTATATATAGGGAGAAACGACTCTTTGTATTAGATCAGACGATCCGTGTATTAATGACTAATCGCGTTATACACGGTGCATTAAAATATAAGTGACCTAAATGTTACTTGATTCCATGTTATTTAATCATAATGTACTTTTGACTTTTGTGTGTACAACTCAACTTTTTATCAACATATATGCAAATGTTTAGAAAGTTTCTTTTTCAAATTAGTTCATTGGTTCAAAAACTAAATTATTATTTTGTTTTCTTATCATTGGAAGTTTGATATTTTAATCTATATTTTTTTGTTTTAGATTTTTTATAGTATGTTGATAATACAATTAATGACGGTTTCACGATAGGTTTTATAGAATCAAAATTATTATATTTATTCGATAGTAAAACATTAATATTAATCAAGTGGAGAAGAAACTTAAGGCAACTCTATTGGAGGGATGGACATGCTTTTAGAACGGAGATTCTTATGGGGTATCTAGACATTAACTATAAGAAAAAATAAAAAGATAGGAGACAGAAAAATGAGTCTCTCAAATGAGTCTCTCGTTTGAAAAATTCAAAAAAAAAAGAGATTCTCATGACACTTGTAAAAATATAATTGGCTTAATTTTAAATATTTAATTAAATTAAATTAGAAATAATAGTTTTATATTTAGTGAGATATTCTTAATTAAACCAAAGAAGGTATACGCTATACTGATTAAAATAAAAAAAATAATTTTAAAAGAAGAGAGAGAAGGAGAAGAGATTCTCAAATGAGAGATTTTGAGAGATCCATGAGAACTCCATAAGACATTTATCAATTAAAGATTTGTTTAATTTTTTTTAAATATAAATTTTAATTACACTACTAATTTCTTTTAAAATATTAAATTTTTTTTTTTGAGACTCTATAGAATCCTCGTATGGAAATGTTCTTAGAAACAAAAAGCTATATGTCACAGTTGTAGTGTCACATTGAGGACATGCTGCAGGATGATTGGGCGGGAATATATGCAATGCATAGCTCCTGCAAACTTCTCCAAAATTAAACCCTCAATAGCTGAATAACTATCTATAAAAATCATTAAGAATATATAAGATTATCAAATATCAATTACATCATATATTAGAAAATATAGAAAAAAAAATAATTTTTGTAGAAAAAACAAATGAAATAATAAATTTAGTATATGGGTTGTATTAAGTGTCTTACATCAACA